AGTGTCGGGGTTGAGCCAAGTTGTGAATGAGAAGGTGGAGGAGCAGGCTGGACATGCAAGGAGTAAAGACACATTACCAGGGAATTACCCTGTCAAGGCGAAGGTACTGGTAGTATTTGGTTAGTTTTATGTGGTTTTGGGGTGGTTTTGGTTGTGATCGGTATGTAATGGTACCCGACCCCCTTGCCCTGAGGAGTATCATGAAGCATCAGAACCATTCAAAACCACCCTTCATCATGGGGCAGTTTATTTTTCCTGAGAAGATCAGTGCATTGTCATACCCCAGCGATCCAGCTGAAATATGTCAGTTCCACTAGGTCCACCACCCTGGAGGTGGGTATGTCATACCTGATTCGCACCTCCTTCTGACCTGTTTCTTTCATGCTTCACCAACGCGTTTCCCGTAGGACGAACTCCAGGAGCCAACCGTGCAAGAACTCATTGTCTATATACTGACACTTGCGGGCAGTCACTTGGGGGCTAGACATTTCAGCCATCCTTCACACTAATTGATGCTATAACAATATGTGGCATGTTGTGCCGTCAAGTCCGACCAAAGTGTAGTGGTCAGACAGGTCATAAGACTATACACTTACTTACCAGGACTCTATGCCCATCCAAGCCCATAGACCCGAAATCATCGATTTCTGCTCCTCGACATGGGTCTCAGCACTGCAGGACCCAGTTGAGGCTGAATGCCCGAAGGCGAGGGAGGAGGAGCAAGACCCAGAGACAGAGGGGCAGAAAGAGAGACCGGAGAGTAAGTTTTCAAAAGGATTGGATGAACATGAATCCAGGATGAACCGTTTTGTGCGTTAGCCATCCTAAGCCTCCCCTCTACGTTTGTATCGAGGACTCTGTGGCCCGGGGCGCCCCGCTGGTGGCAGCGGCTTCCGAGGAGGTCCAACGCTTGCAGCAGCAGTTGCAGCAGATGGAGGCGCTGCTCCGAGAAACGCAACGGCAAGTGGCACAGAGGCAGGCTGAGGGTGTGTGGAGGGTTGTCTCCCAAGACAAGGTGACCCCAACACAGAATCTTGACCATCTAGTAGCGATGGCCTCCACCTAGTCACGAAAGGTAGCCCTTTAGGGGATACCTTGAGTTTGACTTGCGAAGCAAGTGTCGGCGAGTCCGGGTCTAATAATTGATCATTCAATTCAACCCCCCCCCCCCCCCCCCC